CGCCGAATACCAACAAAACAGACATTTGATGCAGTTACACTTACCGTCTGCAGTTCTGAATCATGACGGGGATCTTTTATAGCTGGGACCGCTCCATCTTTCAGTATCAAACAATGTGCAAATCCAGAGTCGAACTGGACCTTGTTTATAAAACGTTCGTCAACACGTGGGCTCGCCCTTCCGGGAGAAATGCCCATATAAGGAGTTCCACCCTCGTCTACGTCATGAAGAGCCACGATCTAAAAAAAACTCTCCGAAACTTGTACGAACCCGGAAGTAAGATTTTTGGCACAGAAATACTCAGTCATATGTCCAAATTATTTTTGAAACTTTTTCCATGCTTAGCATGAGAATCCAACTCTTTAACAGTGTAAACAACTCTGAATGCATGAAACAGCATTGTACCCCCACTTTAAGTGGCGCTGTGCAGACCGATCGGTGTATGACATCAAAGTACTATTTTTTCATTATGGTATCAGGACAGTTCTACCACCTTGACATTTTTTGCTTTATGCTCCCTAAAAACATTAAAAATAAATTTTAATTCTGAATTTTAAAACATCGTCATAAAAAAAGGAGTGTTTGATTAACTGTATGTATAAATTGCATTAACAGATCATTTTATGCCATTTAGTCAAAGATAAGTAATTGGACAATTGACTCAAAAGCTGTTTCATGGACGGGGGTGTCTTTTTGTTATTTCTACATCTATTTGAGACAAAAAAACGTGACAAGTTTTTATGAGCTGGATCTTGGTTCTGTAAAAAAAAAGTTTATTAAGACAAGTTATATTGTTACAAGTTACATTATTATTATTATTATTTCATTGAATACATGACGTGATAGTATTATGTATTAAAGACAGCATAACATGATGAACTGGTGAAGGAGGAGGATTTGTTCCAGGATGCCCAACTTCTTAGAGAGGGTTTGAAAGCGTTGACAGTCAACAATTACTGTTAGTCTGTTAGCATGCAAGAGCACAGCACCTTCTCTAAGAAGTTAATTCCTAATAGGTTGAGTCCTTTATTCCTTCCCCTTTAAAGCAGCCAATGGCTTTGACAATTTTATTTTAGTTCCATAGCCTCTGTTGAAAGACATCAGCAGAATAATATCCAGCACACTGATCTGTGAGAGCTGTGGGTAAAGAGGCCAGTGATGGCAGTAGGAAAACTAATGTCTATAATTATATCATTGTTTTATGTCTCTCACAGAAAGGACATTGATAACAGCCTCAGACTCTCAGCAGGGGTTTGTGCTTTTAAAAATGAACTTTATCCATAGTTGTCCCGCTTGCCCATAGGAAGTTAGGCAACACCAAGAGGAGGTTTCAAAAGGCTTGCAGTTTATGATCTGGCTTTGGACCCCAAAGATGTTTGATGTGGGTGAATTATTGTAGGTTTAATCTCTGTTTAATCAGTCTGGCATCCCCCGAGTAGGGGTCTAAATCCTCTGATCACAGCTGATACATGCCTGTAACTTAAGAGGATTTTTCCACTTCGTCCATTTAAAATATCCTCATTGTACAGTGATACATATTAATATGTCATGTATGTGTGCACTCTTGGTCTCGTTCCTTCTGTTGTTTTTGCGGTGTGTGTGGACCAGCTGTGTATTCTTGGCTTGTTATTTGACTCAGTAGGCCTAATCCAAAACTGCACACTTGCGATGGACAGAGGGCTGACAAACAGCTGCTCACACGCACGCATGGCTGGGTTGAGTCGCGCCTTAGACCTCTGCTGTCAACCAAAAAGAAGTCGTGCCCAAGTAGATCAAACGCATTCCCAGCGGGAATGACTGTTTGCAGAA